TTTTCAAGTTGATGTCCTGTAATTACTTCATTGCGAAATCTTACTGATAGCTAATTATATAGTTGAGTGAAATCTAAAATTCTCATTTTGTTAATGTTTACTCTTGTTAGAGTTTCTAAACATGCTAAGTAAAGCGATTTGATCAATAATAATAATAATCAACTGTTTCATTGTTTCAAGTGCATCTACTTGAACTGACTCAGATCAATTGAAGTAAGAGGTTAATTATATAAAATATCTTAGTTTTAGAAACATACTAAAGCTAAAAACCAAAACAGAGTCAAACAAACTGTTTATGAACTCAATAGTATGAGGTGAAAACGATTCAAATGAATGAAATACAATGAGTAATGTTGATTGTGACCTCTTAGAAAAACTGAACTATAAAAACCAGATACAGTGTAGTATTGGGTTGACATATTTAATGAAAATATGAAAGACGTGTAAGCTAACATTGTATTTGAGTCGCATATTATTTGTAATGGAAAAACATGAAACCACCAAAATTCCTACGACACGAAATAAGAACATGGGAAGCTGGTGCAAGTGAAGATTTATTGACTTATAAATAAACACGATGATCTTAGTAGGAAATACACTCATTCATACATTGATTGTATACCCATTTTGATTACTATTTGGAAAGTCATATATGTAAAAAAGAAATGCCCAGAATTATAATAAATCACATGTTGCATGTCATGCTGAACTATAAATCACGTTAATTCAGTACAAGAATAACGTGTTTCAAATAAACCCTACTCTAAAATAAGTCAATATAATACTGCGTAAAATGTCACATTGAAAATAAAATAAGTTTTACATTGAGTAATTCTAATACTAAATTAAAACCAGAAGTAATGTTGGACAAAAATCACAATGATTTTGTCTATTTATCTCGTCACGTCAGATTAGTAAAGAAAACACTATGTTTCTTCCTCTGTAGACAATATGATTCACTCATACCTCTGATTTGTGAAATAGAACATTCTAAACAATAACTAATATATAGTGATTAACATTGATTGACTTAATCCATTACATCAAATAGAATTGATGACACTTAGTGATTTAGTTTATTTTGCTGTAACTTAAGAAGATAATTGTAAAACTACTGGTATGGATTATTTGTTATGTTTGCGTAAAGACTAACACTTGTTTCTCGTTACAAGGGAATAAAAGTGAGCGATACAGTTTGATGTAAAAAGAGGTGAAATTGTAGATAAAATTTTGTTTATGAACTAACAATAGATCCACCACATAATCAACCACTGTTTTCCCTAGTGATTCGTAAACCATATAAAAATACGTTGAATAGTGCATGATCTAATCACGTGGTCAGCATTTAAATTTGCATATATTGAACTAAGCATTAGGTAAATACATGTAGACAATCCACAATATCAATAAATTTCACTGAACTAACTAGTAACATAATAAATCACTGAGTTGCATATTTACTTTACCTGACATATTTATTGAGCGAACAAACTGTAAAATAAACTGTTATCTTTCACAATGAAAGGTCTTAAATCATTAAATGTGAATAGTTATGAATGAAGTAAAGTTGGCTCAATGGTCTACAGGTTAAACGATCGCAAACGAGACCGAAGACCCTGGTTTCGAGTTCCGCGGGCGGGATGGTAGATGCGCACTGCTGAGGAGTCCCATACTAGAACGTAACGGCCGGCGAGTTCTTCCAGGTTTTCCATGATGTTCTAGCTTTAATTGACTCATAAATTCAACTATTAAATTATTACAATCTCCACAAAACCCTCTTTCTGAAATAATTATTTGTTTTTAAGTATTTTGTGTAGCTAATAGATATTATGAGATATTTGAATACGTTTTATTTTGTGGAATGTACAGAATCTATGAGATAGTTGTTGTAATAAGATAAAATAGTTGTAGAATTTTTATCATTAAAAAGAACATATGTTTATCAGAAACTCCAATCGATATATGCCCCTAGTTAATTTCTACGAGATATATAGATCGATACAATGTAGGTTTTTTATGTTAAAATTGATGGTTCTAAATGTTTGATCGATAAGTAACAAATTGCGCTTGCTTTTAAGTTATATATTGAAGTGCAGTAATCTTTAAAGTAATATAAATGTATTTTATTTAAGTAAATGATTTGTTGAAAACTGAAGTGATGAATTTAAAGACCATCATCATACATAAAACACTAGGAAACTGTCTTATTCTAGTTTAAGGTTTCCAATCACTGCAAACTTATGAATTCACACTTTCAAATTAATAATGTTCAAATATGATATCAATTCCAAATTATCAGCTACTGTTTTTGAATCCTATTGTATTTTTTAACATCACTGAGTTTCCAATACACCACATGAATTACACGTAGTTGTTGGAAATGATTTTCACACTTGTAGCTTTGTGTCAATACAAAGAACGAAATGAGTACACAGACGTAATTGTCATCAAGTGCTTAAAGATTGTTTATTCATATGTTTTTATGAACATACAGTTATCAGGCTTATAACAAGCGTTTATTTTTTTTACCATCCGGTTTCTGATGACAATAAGATTTTTACTAAGAACTGCCCAAATAAAATTGAATATTTAATTTGCTTAACAATTACAGTTCCCAGTAGAAACTTTTCAATGAAAGGCAATTGATCATTTCTTCAGGATTACTGACAATGTATTTCATATCTTTCACACAGTATCTATAATTTTTATTAACTTTTTTTATATTCGAATTATCTGTTATAAAATTCAATCAACTAAATATTAAATTATTATCTGGGGTGCATTATGCAACGTAATTCAATTTAACTATCACACATGATGTCTTTGATCCTAGTCATTATAATCTCTAAAGTTTTAAAAAAACACCAAGAGTTTTCAGATGTATATGTTTTGATAATTTTCATTAATGTTTAATATTATTTGAGAAACAATTAACAGAGAGAATATACTGGGAATCACTTTATTAAGTCAATGGGACTTTTCATTAGTTTAGCTTACAACTAGCCGGTTAAGAAGAAAATGTTGATGATAATTATACTGAAATGGACTAGTCAGTGTTAGTTTTATCCTCAAAAGTTGTCTCCAACCAAGTTTGGAACCCTTCTTTAGAGTTTTGAAAAAATGTATTACACACTCTGGAAGCCCCTGATAGTTTCCTGATTCCATAAATCTTCATAACTTTGTTTGTCGTGTTTATCAATATTAAAAATCAATTAGTCTGATCGACAAAAAATTGATTTAATTATTATATCGAATCAAAGTCTTGAACTCAATCTGTAGATCACCGATTAATTGAACTTTTTAATGTATCTGTCTTAAGTATAAGTATAATAAGTGCGGTATAGATGAAAAGTGATTTGTTTTAAAAATGGTCTCGAAAAACTTAAGTAGGAACAATGTATTACATCTGAAAATAAATCCTTGCGAAGAGTTATTTAGAGAATCGATAAAAAGTAATTAATAGTGAACATTTTTTCTTGTACATTTATTTTATATTTGCCTTTGCCCTTAACTTTCTCCATGTCTACACCTAAAGGACTCGAATTTCATGATTGATAGGCTATCTATCATCTTGATTAGCGTTTATCAATTCAAAGCTTAGGTTAAGGGCTTTACAATGAATATGTGTGCGATTGGTTTCTGACTAATCTTCATGGCAAATTTCAATCAAACGCTCTTGTAATTTATATTGGAAATTTACCCTCAACTATCCAACCTGCTTACCAGACAGCGGTAAGTGATTTTACGTAACAGAACTACATTATTATGCTTGACTTTATCAAAAAAACAAATCCATAACTTAGTAGTTATATGTACTTTGCGAACTGAGCACATGATGGAACTTTATTATGTTAACTATCAGAAATTGTTAAAAGTGATTATGTCTTCCATGAGAAACTGCTATATATTGTCATGTAGGAGCCCAGGTACACATGCATCATTGAATAATTTTGATTTACAAGCTCATTAGTAAACAGAATAAATTATTCAGTAACTCAACTGAATTTTAAAAAGAATTTTTAAATGATTGACAATTCTGGGAATGCAATAACCTCACCGTTTCGTCGATGTCATTTCAGGTGAAAATTAAACCTAACTTTTTCATCATATAAGTTGGAACGTTTTTCTCGTTAGATTATAATAATTATGAGTATATTGGGATCTATGAATTTTTTAACGATTTCAATAACCAGATTATAAAGTGGTATTGGCTAAGCCGTCATGGAAACAGTTATCCAGTGCTTCCTATATTTCAGTGGCGATCTAGCTAATATCGATTCGAGATTTAACTATGAAAATTCTGCTATTTACACAAGCCCTAATATATTAATGGTAGTCATGTACTCACTAGTAACAAAATTTCAGATACATTTACTGGAGTTCTATTGAAAAGCCACGGCTACTGGAATTTAATTTTATCGGATATGAGAGACAGTTACATACTGTAAGCAGTGAAAAGTCAGTGCAAAATATGTCGAATCGATTAATGTTAAGCATGTACACCACTAATTCCTAACTCAATGGTCTATAGGTTGGGCGTTCATATGCAAGACTAAAGTTTCTAAGCTCAATCTTCAGAGGGTTCGTTAGTCCACACTACTGAGCAGTTCGAATTAATATTATGATTTGTTAACGGATCATGTAATTAAATGAATTTCAAAGATCAACAAACCCTATTTCATATATTGAAAGCCTCTTAACCCATTCTTCAACCTCCTCCTCCATAGGTAACTACAATATATAATTTAAAGCATGAAAGATATTTTTTTTGATAAATATCAATAATTATGATGGCTTATGAAACTATATACAGTTATCAAACTTAAAATCATAATTGTCTATAAATAATTGAGTTTATAAATGTTTTAATGAACAGCTTTTAATGATTACAGTCATTATAATTTAAACAAAAGTTTGTCAAATATTATTTCGAATATAATATAATATAATAATAATTTAATAAAACAATAATTATCTAATAAGTATCAATGAAAACTTACAGAATAAATAGTTCCAATTAAATTGAACCACCATCAATTAGATTTACTATACTCTTTATTATTCATAAATCCATCATTTAAACTGTATGATCTTCATTGTAAGTTCAATGATCTAGTCGATGTCATTTCCAAAAATAATTCATTAATTGACCTTAATCAATATTTCTCTCTATAGTAAAATTTCTATCAAGTGTGTAGTAAAAAAATATATCATTTGTGTTTAAATTTACCAATAGAATAGTTTAGACTTTTGAAATCTAATCACACGATTTCAACAAATACACTAATCTATATTATTATTATTTTGTGTGTGTGTGTGTGTCTTTATTGATTGTCCATTTATCTGGATGCATACAAGCATATCATAATTGTTTATTAGATTTATCTAATGTAAATATGCTTGTATCTTTTTTTAAATTTAAATGAATATTTTCTCTATTGAATTATTTGTTTTAAGTAATCATTAAATTTTCAATTTGCGCGAAAGTCAAAGAATGTATATATACTAACATTTGATTTTTTTCTAATTTGGTTGGTAGATTTGCTTGTATGTCTATATATATAGTGTATTTGTGTATTTTTTGTGCATGTAGGTATATTTTAACTTATCAATATCCTCAATAGTTGAGATTGTGAGTTAATTGAAGCTAGACCACCATGAAAAATCTAGAAGCACTGGATAACCATTTCGTCCTAGTATGGTATTCGTTAGTAGTGTGTATCCACGATCATGCCTAGCAAGATTCGAACCCAGGATTTTCGGTTACGTAATAGGTTGAGACAGTCATACAGTGCTTCTAGGTTTACTATGGTGGTTTAACTTTAATTTACTCATGATCTCAACTATTGAAAGGATTATAATATCTACAAAAATCCATTCGGATATTATCAGTATCTGTTCATAAAAAAGGGTATTCCATATATTAGCATCCGCTAGCACAAATGTTATGTGAGGGTAATCATTCTATTTCAGTATTCCATGAAAGTTTGATATCTAGTATTTCCAAGTATTCTTCCGTCCATTTAATGTATCAATGCTATATATATTAGTGTAATTTTCATCTAAAGGTATCTATATAGGTCTTCTATAACCATGTCACTGTAGAGCTTGAAATAAAATCCGCAGTGGAAGTTATGTTCTTACACCCAACATTCACATACTAAACGAACGGAATAACACTAAATATTACACATATACATTTCGAAAGAAAGTACAAATTTTATTACAGTTACATTTGTCACAGCAACAAAAATTAATGATTTTTAAGACATACTCAGATGAACAGTGAACATAGTAAATATTATTATTTAGCTCGCTGTAAATGATTGGTTATTCGTGAACATTTCCATTCAATTTTAAAACTTTATTGAACCCTTAAACTTTCTTCTATGTACAAAAACTGCTTATGAAGTAAAGCTTTAAGTTGAATCTTTTCCTGATTATTTACGCTAATGTTAGTCAGTTATGAGTACTGGAACTCTAACAAGTAATAAACTATACTACTAAGAAGTCATCGTATAGCCACGAAGAATTATTTACCATATGGTTATTACGTTTACATTTTGAGGACGCTATTTCGACTATCAGTTAACTTCATATGATTAGTCTTGCATAAATTATTAATTGGTTTTCTGTTTAGTAACGCAAATCACCTTATTCATGATTTGATCTATGTTGTATGAAAACAAAGTTCAGGTCATCTAAATAAAGTCAACAAGATGAAACATGAAACGGTGAATGGTTGTCACTTTGTATTTAATTGTGTTAAGAGGGTTATAATGGAGAAAATCTTCAAATTCAATATTAATGAACTTCTTAGATTATATTTTAGTCACTTGTCCAAAAAGAAATATTTTTAATATAGATTCACAGTACCACGATAACATGGTTGAATTATTTATTAGTCAGATGTAAAAAACTTAGTTTCTGCGTTACATCATCCTGAGGAGTAGAATTCATTCTATTGCTATCACAATAAAGGATTAATACACTGAAGTTAAGACTAAGTATGAAAAAATGTTAATTGGAGGTGGAAATCCTGATTTGATTCAACAATATAATGAAAAAAGCTCTTAGATTACTATCCTAATACATTGCTGGATGAAGTGAGAGCTCTTACTGTCAATCACCACTCACTATCCATTGTGATCACTATATATTTTATTTGCCTTTTTTCACAAGTGTTCTACATTTACTCATTCTTTATTAATACTTTTACTATGGTGTATATCTTGTAATCCTTTGTTTTACATCTCATTAGGTTTGACACATAATATTTAATTCTCGAAGGCTCAACATTACGTAATATTAATAATAAAACTACGAAATGTGATAGGTTTAATCATTTCATTTTCCAGAATTCATTAGACAAAATATAATCTATTTTACTTTTGTTAGTGAGCATATCTAGTCAGTGGCCTTACATACAGTGTGATAGGTAATTCTGTTAGTCTGGTGACTTATTCAGTGGAAGATAACAATTAGTTTCAGTTACTCTTTCTGACATACTTGACAAATCACTTCTGAGCACACATTCTTTGTTTAGGAGACCTAGTTGATGACAAATAATCTGTTGATTGCTAGCAATTCTTTTTAATAAATGATAAATATGTGTACGTAGACCACAGAAGTGAGAAAATCCTATTGAGATCATGAACTGACCAATGTTAGATCACTATGGAAAACTTGGGGTCACTTTACGGCCGTTCGTCCTAGTATGGGACACCTCAGTACTGTGAATCGATGGACTTTCACGTGGTAATTTAACACACGACTTTCGATCTCACGCGTGAACGCTTAACCTCCAAACCAGTGAGCTCACATCCAACTGTTGTGATATTTAACTTCAATCAATCCGCGATATCGCGGGACTATCTCCCACTGTCTTCAGTTGGTAACTGCCTCACAACCGACACAGTGGGACTTCACTGAACACGGCTTCTCACTAGGACAAGAAAATCTTTATTTCATAGTGTGAAAATTATGAAAGAAAGTCTTAAATGATCCTATACTTTTTTGTTCAACCTTTTCTTTAGTCGAGTATATAAACTTTCATATTTAACTCACAGGTTGTGTTTTGAATTTTAACAACAATTTAACGTTACAGTGTCCTTTACATTTATGGATTACTTAATATGTTTACTAATCGGATTATTAAATGTTCATATTAATTTTACAAACTATCAATGACTATATTTAAATACTCATAGGGCACGTATATTTTCACATTAAGTTAATCTAAAAATTGAAAATAATCACTTAATTAGATCACTGAATAAAATATCTATTGTATGACCTAAGAAGTAAATATGTGGGAATGTTTAGTTCTAGGGAAACACTGTTATAGACGCTAATAGATTCACTAAATTCTTCAGACTGTGTTTAGAAGGGAAATCTTGTTTGGGACGTGTCATTTGGGCTTCCCTTCATACAAGTGTTAATGTTCACATTGAGATTGGAGGCCAATCCCTATCGCTTCAAAAACAAACATGTTATCCACTAAACTTACTTATAGAAGACAGCTTGTTTACTTACGTACTTAAGCATGTTACCCCTCGTGGAAGTGCATAGGCCACCCACCAGCATTCTCCATCGAACTCTGTCCTGGGCAATCCATTTTTTCTATGTCTGCTTCCAGTTCCCGACTCAGTATGTTCTTTGGTCTTCCTCTTTTCCTTTTCCCTTCAAGATTCCAAGTTAGCGCTCGCCTCGTGATACAGTGTGATGATTTCCGCAATGTATGTCCTATCCACCTCCAGTGTTTTTTCCTAATTTCCTCTTCAGCTGGAAGCTGATTTGCTCTATCCCACAGTAGACTGTTGCTGATGGTATTCGACAAACAGATATTGAGTATCTTGCGTAGACAGTTGTTTAGAAACTTGTTTAAACTCCACCGATGGCTCTTCTTGGGTTACTGTTAATCACAATTCCGGGTAAGGGAGGAGGGTTGGGTATGGAATCAGCAACCCCATCCCTTAGAAAACAGCATTGCTAAAAAACGCTAATCAGAATAAATAATTTAAACCATTCAATCTCTGCCCCTCATTCAGAAGAATTATGACGCCTCATGGTGAAAGGCGAAATTCTTTGGAAGTCATGAGGCCGATAAATTTTCTAACAACCAGAGCAACAATTAATATAGGTACATACATGTGATGTCCGGAAAGCGTGGGAGTTCGGGAGCACTAATCAACTTGTTTAACTTGTATGATATTTATTCTCAATGACATGTATTATCTTCTGGTTGTTACTCAGGACTAGGACGTAACTTTCTAACTCGTTAGTACTTGTCAGCAAAATACATTAATTTGAATCTCTGTATTTTTCTGACGAGGATTTTGTTCGAATAAATTGAATATATCATCCAATGGATAAAAATCGCTCTGAAATATTTAATTGATCTTCTGACACCTAAAATGGATAAGTTCAGATCAGACAAATTGGACTTCTAAGAGATGATTTCTTCATTAGAGCATCTGAAATACAATGCTCGTTTTTACAAACAGATCCATATTATTCTCAAGTTCAGTACGAAACAATGAAGCATATGTAGGTTGGATAAGAATAAATACACAACATATTGTGTGCAATATTAAATTCCTATAAAACCCACCAAAGTCATAATTGTAAATACTGTTTATTATAAGTGAATACTTGACCCAACGAAAATTAGTTGTACTCAACAACAGATAGATGAAGTAAATGAAACCTGTTTCAACATGCTAAGTAGTATATACTTAAAATAACATCGTCAAGATGATTAGGTTCCCAAAAATCAAAATTTTTCCAACTCTTGACTATAAGGTCTGAAAATAGAAAGGTAACCATATCATACATTATTCTCACAAACTTCTTTAAAGTAAACTTGTAGACTACTTTAGATTACATATAGTTACAAGCTACCAAAAAATACATTTTAAAAGCTAATCTAGTTATTGGCGAATTGTAGTCTTATTGTCCGTTGTATGTTGCACAGTGGAGTAACTTTTTTCTACAATAAAGACACTCAACATTTAGTATCTATAAACAGGATGACGTATAAACAGAATTACATGTTTAGGCAAGTAGGTGAACAACTAATAGACTGTTGGTTTATTCATCCCCTCCCCGGGAATAAGGAAGCATAAAGCAACATTATTACTAGGTGC